CCTCACCATCCCGTATGACAAGAAATTTATTTTTAAAGCAACATAGCCTGAAGTCTCTGGTAACTAAACAAAACAGCCCAATAGGTGTCTGCACAGAAAACAGTGAAACCTTCTCAGAGGAATACATAACTGACATAAGTGTCTTTGCACCTCCTCAGAAGTCTTAAAAATATACAGCCCGTGAGTTTAATGTCGCCTTTTTTTTTTTTTTCAGAAGCAACACCCAATGCCTCATTAGATGACTGAGAGGGGGGAAATAAAACCCTGCATTTTAATAATCTCAACAAATAGAAATGCAGCAGAAAAAACACCCCCTTGAACAGAGGATAGCAGACGTAAAAGTGACTTTCGCTACCTGGCTCTGGAGGCCTTCCATTTATTGCAAGTTAGTACCACACTTACATTTCACACGACTGAATGCCAATAATACACTGGAAAGTTAAGTTATAGATCAACTATTATCCATATCATATTTTTCTGCTCCAATTTATATGATATTTTCTGAATTCTAGACAAAGCTTTGATCCCTTTCCACCTGCATTTCTGCAGTTACTGGAAGATTTAAGAATTGCTATAAGTGTCCTTTGAGGAAACATGGCTCACTGAAGGTGAAAATAGAATAAAAGCCACAGAATAATTACAAGTAATACACCATCATTAAAGCATTTTCAGTTAATTCCAGCCCTGTACTCCATCTGGGAGAAGGCACAGATTATTCTCCAGATTATTAATCAGAACTATTTGAACATTTTCAGCATGCAAATGTAAAGATCATTGGCCATTTATGAAAAAAAGACTGCTGCTCATTAGCTGGAGCAATTACAAAAGCAGCGAGCTGCACGATCCCTCCTCCCCAATCTCTAAGTTAGGGAAGAGGGAGCTGCCGGGGTGCTGGGTGAGGCCTGTGCCTTCAGATGCCGCTCTGAATCTCTCTGGGAGATTTTGTGAAGATCTAACAGCAGATAAGCAGGATTAAGCAGCTAAATCTTTTAAAGCCTTTTCTTTACTGGGCCACATAGAATTTTCCCAAAATAATGCTTCAGTATTACAATAAGCATTCCCCCCACCGCCTCATCAGCAGAGATTGCATTTTAAATTACTGCTCCTCTCCCTTCGGTCACTCAAAGTGATTCTAAGGGGGGGTAAAAGTCCTCCCCAGTGGCCACACCACCTCCCCTCGGGTTGCCGAAATCCCATGCGGGTGTCTCTCCTGGCCTGCCATCAGCTGCTGCCTTATTCACACCTCAGCCCTGGTGCTGCTGAAGCAGCGAGGAAAGCTGTGCTCGCGAGGGCAAACGCCTGCTTGTTTCCAGCCCTTACTCGTGGGCTTTTCAGCTATACCACTACCGCCCCCATCCCTGTGAAGCGCATGCCAGAGGAGACGAAGCCCTTCTGGCTGGTCCCTGCCTTGCGTGGATGAGCCCCGAGCTGCCTGGGAGCGCACACAGCGCTGCCGCCCAGCCTAGGTGTTGCCCGAGTACTCCTTGACCCCAAAAATGCCCTCTCCCCTTTATTTTTTGCCTGTAGAGCCAGGAGCATGGACTACTGGCATACTTCATTTATTCCTCACAGTGGAGGCACTTCTACAAGCACCAAGTCTCTGGGGACGAAGCAGACGCAGCTTGGGCACTGGATTGCGGAGAGCCCAGGGACAAGCTGCTTACGTGGAGAAGGGAGAAAAGGCTCGTTTTGGTAGTCTGCCCGTATCTAACTCCGACATCCAAAAATGAACGCTCTTCACCTCCAGGGACTGCAAAAAAAGCCGTGACATTTCAGAGGAGGGACCAGGGAAGACTGTGCTCTGTTCAATATAGAGAAATGAAATGAAGACACCTCCAACTAAGATCCTTTTAACATGAAGACAGTGAAGTCAGTATTATTTAATATCAAATTAGATCCAACAAGCATAGGAATAGGTTTGCAGAGGTTGAAGGAAATGTAAAGGTGAGACTTAGAAGAGATGACACTTAACCTGTGATGCTTAATTTCTGTAATAAAAATGGTAAGACAGCATCAAAGCTATCTTTGATGTCAGAAGCCAATCTAGCAAAACAGCAGCCTCACACCAGGGACTGGCCATACTGTACTGCAATCACATGTACATTTCCCTCTCTCCCCCTACCTCCCCCCCTCCCGTCTTTTTAAAGCTCCATGGAGAAATGAAGAAATGATGTCTACCCAAACCAGACATGGGTGTAACGGGCAGGATATATACTGCAGTACTGCTGCTAGAGAACCAGAATGCAAGACAACTTAATTCACAGACTGATTTAACCAATATTGCCATCACCATGAAAATCACTGTCATAATTTACAATCTATTTACAGTGATAACAAAGAACGAAGGAAGGAGAAAAATGCGCTTGTCTATAGGACAGAACCTAAATCTCATATAGACCACCTCCTGAGGCAGACTGCTGTTTAGGTCTGCTAATCATGACAATATCCTTTTTACCTATACACTTCCATCAGAGGAGTTATCTGACTGCGTTTCTGTATGCACAAATTAGCACATAGCTGTACTACACCCTCTGCCAAATCCCCCTAAAGCATGTATGAAGCAGTACACATTAAATACACACAGACTGCACATGTAATCTGCTTGGGTTCAGAAGTAGTTTGTGTGGGACTGCACAGAGATTCCAAGTCAAATGCACGTCGGACCGAACAAATTGAAAGGAAGGTGAAACCAAGCTCCACCTGGTCATGGATGGGCTGACAGGGGAGGGGTTCTGCACCGTGAATCTGCCCTGCACACGCTGCTCCACGGTAAGGAGGACGAAGGCTCAAACAGAGACTAACGCACCTTTTCCATCTCTGCTGTTGG